ACGGCTGAAAGGGCAAACATGTTTGGTGGGACGGGGATTCGAACCCGAGACCCCCAGATTGCGAGTCGAGCGCCCTAACCACCTGGTCATACCGGGCCCCAGATAATTATAAGAAAACTTTTATTTTAACCGACGTTTCACTTTTGCGGCTTCTTCAGGGTTAGTACATGAAACTTTTTCATATTTCAATATTCGTTAAATTATAAACTTGCTGGTGAAATTATATTTCTCGAGTCTGCCGTAACGTGCCTCTTACAATATATAGAATATTACTATTGCTTCACTATTGAGTTTTGTGTTTTTATTCTGTGTTTGGGGTTCCGTGTTTGTATAGGAAGTGTTCTGCTGGGGCTATTTTGTCACGGTCATAAGTATACAATGCACTGATGTGTTCTGAGATGCGCGTGTGTAAAGGTCTTATAGTTTCTCCTGTATATGCGTCTCCACACATATTGAATATGATTTGATGGGCTACGTTTCTGGTGTGGCATATTCGTCCTTCTCTGTTTGTCGTAGCTTTGCTTTTTGGCACATTTCGTTTGTGAGCATGACGAATAAACTAATATTCAGTGTTGTACTTGGTTTTTGCGTTGTATTGATTGTCAGTTGGGATTGTTTAATGGCTGTACGAATCGTGGTTGTGATTATGTTGTTTATCAAATGAATGTTCATTAACTGTAATATGAGAAAACTAGTGAAACTAATAACAGATTATATATTGTTAGAGGCACCTTACGGCAGTCTCGAGAAATAGAACATTACAAGCATGCTCTAATATCTACTGGCCCTGAAGAAGTCGCAAAGTGTAGAGGTCGTTGTTTTTAACTTTACTATAAAAATTTGCCTTTTCTATCTTGTCACACTTTACTTTGACAACAATATTTCTATATTGAATATTTTCCTCTCGACTTCAAAACTTCTTATGTTTTATTTTTCATAAACTGATTTTCACTCTTTTTTTTCTCCATTTAATGATTAGAACAAGATTACTTATGCATCAAAGTAAATATCACTTGTATCCTAAGTCAAAATGAAACCTTTATAAACAAACTGGCCAAGACTCAACAAATACTGAAGGATTTAGTTGATATTCAGTCAATAACTTGCTTTCTTTCACAAAGCAACTGCATGCCTTAAACTCACCGTGTTTTGCTCCGTACTGAAGGATTTAGTTGATATTCAGTTCGTTAACTTGCTTTCCTTCACAAGACAACTGCATGCCTTAAAGTTACTCTTTTCTTTCTTTCTGTCTTCCTTTTTATTATCATTATCAAATAATTCAAGGTTAAAGCTGTTGTTGTTAGTTTAATTTTTTTCAAAACTACCTGGGAACTATCTGCGCTAGACGTCCTTAATTTGAAAGTAATAGACTAGAGGAGAGGCAGCTATTCATTATCACACACACACACACACTGTCATCTCGTTGGCTAAACTAATTGAATAATGGGATTTGACCGTTAGGGTGCACACTTTTTAATGTTTTTCTGTGGCGGTAAAGGGACGCAACCCACCGAACCTCGAATCCCCAGTCAGGGAAGCGTGTAGCTTTCTAGAATGGCTATAAGTACGACCTAATTAAATATGTCAAACTACTATGTGTCAAAAAATGTGATACCTCTTCCTTTTCATTTTAAAGCCCAGTCTAAATATAAGATAAACAAATCAAAACCAAATATTATACATACTGTTAAATAGATTAGGCTGTTCAAAAGATGGCGCTTATAATTTTTCAGACATATTCCGTGTACAAAACAGTAAGATAAATAAATATTTCTTTAATTATGATCCTTTTCACCCGAAGCCTTGAAAATAATTAGGGTATCGATATCCTAAATTAAGAATAATATACTATATAATTAAGTACAACAGATGGTAATTAATAAGCGCGCATTTCTCTCGGGTCCTTGTTTTATTATTTTCGTGTTCTTTTATGTCGATTTTGAAAATTCCATAACAACAACCGGCTTGTTTTTCTTTATAAATTTAAGCAAGATCAGTTAGATAAAGTAATGAGATAATCACATGACATGTCATGGGATTCCTCGAGATGTCCAACTTCTCTACTGCTCACTTTTATTTTTGTTACGTCATATTAATATTATTCTCTTTGGTATTCACCTGATCTAAGAATAATAAAACTTAAAGTGATTATTGAATTAAAAATAGATTATTAATGGACGTTTATACCCAAAGGCAATTACTTTGAAACGTTACATCAACCTCAAATTGGAGTGAAACGTTCGATTTTTATGCATTATGATAAGCATATTAATGAATAATGTTTATACAGAATTTATTTAAAGTTTAGCATTAGTTATTACATTAGTGGATAACTTTCACCCATTATCTTTTTTGGTTTTGAAAAAGTATTTAGAACATTTCGTCTACCTTTTCCTATGATATCAAACGATAACAAGAACGTGGCTGAAACAAAAGCTTAACTGTTAGAGTTTATACAGCACAACATTTACTTTTAACTGTCATCTAATCTTCTAGATTAAATTAACGGACAGGACTATGTAAATAGGATTTTCTTTAGGTGTGTTAGACAATAGGTATGGGTTGGTCGTGTGGTAGGGATCTAGATTTCGAATTTACCTATACGGGTTCGAATCCGTACGATACCACAAAATAATAGAAATCTGGATGAGTTATAAGAGTGACATTCGGTACCTTAAGTTGGTAAGATGCTGTTGACTGCCTGCCTTTCCTCTGTCTTTAGTAGTTTAAAATTAAGAACGGCAACAGGTACCTTTGATACAAATACAACTAATTCATTTACGAGGTTTTTTTTAAATCTTGCCTGCGATCTATCTATCTATCTAATTAACAGAGTAAAGAATAATAAGACTAATATTATTATTTGTTTCTAAGTTATTCCGAAACGAATTCCATAGAAATATATATATTTTTTGCCAAACCAAAGCCTGGAATATATCATTCATATTTTGTTTTGATTTTCTTTTATTTAAGCGCAAAACAGTGGACTATTTGCGATGAGCTTACCACAGGAATTTAACGCCGAATTCTCGCGTTATAAGCCCTCAAGCTTACCACTGAGTCACCGGGGGAGGGGGGTATTCAAGAACACCACAAAGCTATCCCAAACCTTCGCTAAATGTGTAATATTTTGTTAGAAATCACAACAAAATAGCAAATTGTTAATGAGTTTCAACTTCTGATTTTCACACTTAATTTTAACTAAATTTTTTATCCAAATCTTACAATTAGAATTGAATTTAGTACTTATAAACCGGAAGTATACGTTAGCAGAAATAAGTGCAGCTGGGTTTCAGTTTTGCTTTGGAATTTTCCACCGTGTTTTCAAATGAGAATTGTTTTAAAGAAAGAAAAAAATCCTTTTTTTTGTTAAGGCTGAGTTTGTATACAAGCACTTTTGAATCCATATTTTAGTCTATAAATGGTTGGTATCTGAAGAAAGTTCGTAAAAGTCACGAATAACCCCTCATCTTGTTTATTTTTTTTGGGGGGGAGGATCAAAGTTGTTCCGAAATAATATACTTAGACATGAAATTACATAACTGTTATAAAACTCGATAAAAAAACAAGTAAAAACTCATTTAAGATTATAAGAGTAACAATCTTATATATATATATTGGGTTTTTGTAAAGTAAAACGAATCGGCTTCGTTTTTTAAAATGTTGCGCATGCACATAACATCATGTGTTTTCACTTTCGTTTTGAATCGAGTGTCCTAGTGGTTAGCGTCCCCCCCCCCCACCTGCGGGTCAGCGGAAAGTTTATGGACTTAAAATGCTAAAATCTATCCGGAGTACGGATAGCCTATTGTGTGACTTTGCGTGAAAATAAACCAGACTAAATCCTACTGGTTTGCGTATCGGACTGGGGATTCGAAAGTCTAGGGTTCGAAACGTGATAGTTCCAAACACGCTTCGAACTTTCAGCTGTGAGTGCGTTATAAGAGAGACAGTCAATTTTACGATTTGGTTAATAATTACTGTTTCAAGTGGTGGGTGATACTAACTGCTTGCCGTCCCTTTTTGTTTGTTTGAAGTTAAGCACAAAGCTACACAATGGGCTACCTGTGCTCTGCCCATCACGGGTATCGAAACCCGGTTTCTAGCGTCGTAAACAATAGAGTTTACCGATCTGTGACTTCAGATAAACAAGCAAACAGATACTTATATCATGAGTAATTTATGTCACCGTAATACGTTTTGAACAGTAACGAATATTCTCTTTAAGCAAGCTGTTCTTACTTTTGGTTTTTGATTGAATTGTACGGAATTCGTAATTTTTCAAAAGCAACAAACTTCTTTTAATTTATAAAAAAACCAAGGTTTGTATCTGTACAAGATTAGAAAATCATTTGTGACGTAAGTTATAACGATTTTCAGTTATTTTCGAAAATGGTTTCGATATTATAAGTGTGCTTGTTTAGACCAGTGCGTATGTTGTATATAAAAAAAGAACGAATGAGTTTATCTCGTAAATATATATTTTACTTATAAAGCGTGCTTGTTTAGACCAGTGCGTATGTTGTATATAAAAAAGAACGAATTAGTTTATCTCGTAAATATATATTTTAATTGTAAAGCGTGCGTTTTTAGACCAGTGCGTGTGTTATGAAAAAAAAAAGAACAATGAGCTTAATTCGTAAATATATATATTCTATTTATATAGGGTGCATGCCTAGACCAGTGCGTGTGTTATGTGTGTATATATATATATAAAGAACGAATGAATTTAACTATATATTTTATTTATATAGAATATATCGACTACAGCATCTTCCAATACGTGGTTACAAAAATATTGATTTTGGTATTAAACTATTCAGAAAATCGTTTTGAATCTGTTCATTGTTTGTAGCAGTCATAGCAGCACCTGTTATATCGATCGAGGGGTGACAAATTACTATGTAGAAGAGAAGTGGTAGTCAATGGTGGGGAGTCAGTGGAAACAAAAGCTGATGTGATAAACGCACGTTAGAGCCTTAAGTAAAATATCAGGATAAAGCCTATCTGAAAAATGAACAACCAGAGTTAGATTATTTTTGTGCTTAGAAAAATAAATCTAATTTCGATATTTGAAAAATATCGATGCAATAATGCACAATAACTAGTTGTCGCCTATGATAGCTCCATTTTCCTATGTGTATTAATAAAGTGAAATTTGTGAAAAATTAATTATTATTTACCTGTCACTTTCACGATTACAAGTTTAGGAATAGTAATGTATGGAAGTCGTTGTTTATGTTACGTGTCGATTATTTTAACGTGTTCTTCAAACCTGCTTCAAAGAATAACTATACATTTATTTGGACTTGTTTCTACAGCTGTCCCTACACCGAAACATTCTTTTCTTTTTTCCAAATTATCCTTCCGATCTCGAACTAACCCATTATCCTCTGCTATCTCCTCTTTGTCCCGCCTGTCCTCTCCCTCCCCAACCTCTACCACTACCACCCCCATATCTCAAACTTGCATCTTGGAGGATTCTTCCTCGACATCCTCTTCTTCACAAGATTTGACGCAGAATCCCAGAACATGCGAGATTTTACCAGGGCGAGGAGTAACTATAGAAATCATCAAAGAAAAAAGTGGCCTTGGTTTGAGCATCGTTGGTGGTTATGATACGCCTTTAGTGAGTCATTTCTTTGATTTTTCAAAATAAAAACGGTAATATTTACGAAGTTGACAAAGCTTCTACTGATATTATATCAGATTTGTCATTTTCAACAGCAAATATCTTAGAAATATTTAAGTAAGCAATATCCTGAAATTAGCAACACTATGAACTTTCGACATTAAAGCTTATAAAATAGATAAAACATTTCAAACATTCGACGTATTTGCCAGAAGATATAAATATTTAATTAGTAAAAAAAATTATATTTAAAAAAAAAGAGCATTACTATATTAATCAATAATTCAGCGTTTTAATGGCAGTGACGGTTTGTTTGTTTGCTTTCCTTGCAATGGTTGGGAAAGATATTATTACAATACAATAAACAAGGGTACAGCTGTTAATACAACAACGTTATAGTTCAGGAAAACTTGACTGCGAAACACAGAATATAAAAATGAATGAATAAAATTAAATTGTAAACGGAATATTTAGTTTTAGTAACTAATAGTTCACATGAATCCGAAAGTTTAATTTTTATATTATTTATTCGGTAAACATAGTTTCATCTTACCGTATAATAAAAATGAATTGTTAGAGAAACGGTTACTTTCAATATTCATTGAACAATAAAAAGTTAAATTTTGCATCTCAAGTTCATAATATTTTCCTTCATTAACGAGAAAGTTATCAACTTTTCGCCTTTGTGTTGCTTTCTACGCCTAATTTAAGAGCTTATAAAACATTTTCGAACATTTTGCATTATTTTAAAATCATTAAACATAGTAGCTGCTACCAAAATATAGCAGTGAATGAATTATTAACAAACACGTTCTGAAGATAAAGCGTAGCAATATTATTATTATTATCAAAAATGTTCTTACCAGTAAACAAAATAATTAAACTACAGGGTGGTCGTAATGGGAACGGAAATCAAAAATTATTATTGTGTTAAGAATTGTGTACACGTTCCAGGGGAACAAATTCTCATTACAAGCACATTTAAAACTATAAAAGGGTTTGGATTGGATACAAAGTGCTTCTAACACCGTCACAGAAACTGTCCTTTCCACCATTTTCAATCAGTGTATTAAACCTATCCCTAAACGAAGTTACTGGAAACTTCATTTTTTCCGCTCAAGTGTTCAATGGCTCTTATATTATCCTGCACACTGACACATTTTATTTAAGTAATCAACTTCGTGTTGTTGAAAGGGAGAGAAGAGAAATAAAAGCAGCGCTAATTTACTGAAAAAAAAAGAGATTTAGGCATGCAGTATAAAATTGGTTATGAAACAAACTGAACCAAGTTGAAACTTTCGATTTTCAATGTGCGTCTGGTGAAATTTTGTTTCCACGAGACAAGTAGTTTTAAAGATATAATCATTTTAAATATATGTTTTCTTTATAATCACCTTTTAATATGATTCACATTTATAATGTCGAATTTTATATCGCTTTAGAGAGGTTAAGACAAATACTTGAATGTTTAGGAAATCGCTATCTTTTAATACAATGACGATAGTGTGCAAATTTGTTATTTCGACATTTTTCAAATCCTCATGCATGCGAATTTTATAACGCCCTCTAGTGAAGTCATTTTATTGAATGTGTTTAGCTTTACAAAAGAGTTTACTAATTTATTTAGTGTAATTCATAAATTTGCCGCCTCTATTGAGAATTATTCAATACTTTTTTTTTCATTGCTAGAGAACAGTTTTAATCCATGAAATATATCCTGATGGCGCTGCGGCAGTTGATGGAAGACTAAAACCTGGAGACCACATTCGTGAGGTTTGATCTGTGTTTTATTTTTTATTTTTTTATTTAGAAACTCGTTCGAATTTGTGTGGTTGTTTGATAGAGTTAACTTATTAAGACACAGATTCTGATGTGAATCATGAATTAGTTACGAAGAGCTTTGGTAAGACTTTAAACGTACATTTTAAATAGTTTTAACTGAGCCTTCGAAGTTCCAGTAACATAGAAATCATAAGAATCAAAACAAACATAGTTTATCAATAAGTGTCAGAACATTCGTCTTATTCTCATGTTTTTAATGTTTCAAGAAGTTCCAAAACGACAGTAGTCTATGAACACTACCTGATGACGAGTATGAAAGATAAGTTTGTTTGTTTTCTGTTTGTTGTTAAGCTCCATAATGGGCTATCTGTGTTCTACCAACTGTGAATATCTAAGCTCCATTTTTAGCGTTATAAGGCTTCAGACTTATCTCTGAACATCCGTTGGTCTAAAAACTAGTACTGCTCACCTTTTGAAAGTAGAGTTGCGTAAATTTATTTGTAGCTTTTAATCACGAGGCACCCTTGTGGCTCAGTGGTAAGTCTTACAGCTTAAAATGCTAAGAATTGGGTTTCGATACCCACGGTGAACAGAGCATAGATAGCCCATTGTGTAGCTTCGTGCTTAATGACAAACAAAACAAACTTTACGAGAATTATAATTTCGAAATCACACTTTTTAATATATATATATTCTTGAAGATAGCTTTTATATGCGAAAACATCTGCTAGCCGAGTTCTTGCACAGATATTAAAATATAACGTTGACAAACGGAAACATCGGCACATGTAGATGTGTAGATCTTGAAAGTCAAGTTGTTCAAAACTTAAGTAGAGTTGATAACTGGACCAATTGTTGGTTGACATGTTGCAAAGGAAATATCTGCTGAAGCTTTTCGCCAGACCCAAATCATAG